GAGCTCCTTTCGAGATAAACCACGATTTTCTGGGGCACCCAAACGGTCCCTCCGCGGAACTGGCAGCTGTCAGTTCCGTTGCCAAAAATGACTCTCACCTCACTGCCCCCATAGGAGGCAGGTTGAGCCTCTTTCTAGACAGGTGGGCCCTCATTACAACAGACCAGTGGGTCCTCCACACCATCGAACTCGGACTTCCTCTGGAGTTCCTCTCCAGCCCCCCGAACCACTTCGTACCATGCCCTGTCTCCAAGTCCCCTCGCAAGTTCCGCCTCATGGAGCTGGCCATTCACATCGCTGGCAAGGAAAACTTGCAGGCAGACTTCCTCAGCCTAACCAGAGTGGAGCCGTCAGAATGGTGACTCCACCCCGACCTCTTCAAAGCCATCTATCTCCGGTTCAGACAACCACAAGTGGACCTGTTCGCTTCGCCAGTGAATGCGCAACTCCCCAGGTTCTTCACCCGTTACCCAGCTCCGGGGGTGGAGAACACGGATGCCCTTCACTGCCCCTGGCCACCAGGGCTTCTGTACATGTTTCCCCCCCTGGCCCTGCTGCCCAAGGTGATACGCAAGATCATAGCAGAGGCCACGGAGTTAATCCTCATCGCCCCCCACTGGCCACGGAGACCTTGGTTCTTGGACCTGGTCGCCCTCTCGACATCACACCCCTGGAGGATTCCCCCGGAGAGGGTGTCCCTCAGCCAGGGGGCCATTTACCATCCAGAGCCCCAGTGGCTACATCTAATGGCCTGGCCCTTGAGGGGCTCCTCCTGAGGCAGGCGCGTTATTCTGAAGACGTCATCCAGACCATGCAGGCAGACAGAAAGCCTTCCACCATTGGGCTTTACAACATCACCTGGAAGGTATTTGTCTCTTGGTGCTCTTCCCGGAGCTTGTTGTCATGGGGGATTTCAACCTTCCATCCGCGGGTGAGACGTCAGAGGTGGCTCGGGAGTTCATGGCTTCCATGACGGCTATGGACCTGACCCAGTTAGTTCAAGGCCCCACTCACATAGGAGGACACACTCTGGACTTGATTTTCATCTCTGGTCAGTGGTTGAATGACCTTGGTAGAGGGGACTTAGACATTAAACCCTTGTCATGGACAGATCATTCGCTTCTTCACTTGGACTTTCCTACCGCTTCCCCTGCCGCAGGGAGACGGAACCGACTAAATGGTTCCGTCCCAGGCGCCTGATGGATCCAGAAAGGTTCCTGACGGAGCTTGGGCCGTTTCCTGAGACTCTGACACACGACTCGACTGAAGAGCTGGTGGCCGCCTGGGAGAGTGCGGCCGCCGGAGCTTTGGATTGTGTCGTGCCTTTGCGGCCTCTGACCCGATGCCGATCTCAATTGGCTCCTTGGTTCTCTGAGGAGCTGAGAGAGATGAAGCGTCGGAAAAGACGCCTAGAGAGCATTTGGAGGACCATTCATTCTGATTCCAACCGGACACAGGTGAGATCTTATATCAAGACCTACCTAGTGGCGATAAAAGCGGCAAAATCTAACCATTTTTCCGCTCTTATTGCATCTGCAGAGAACCGCCCAGCCGCCCTGTTTAGGGTGACCCACTCCCTTCTTCAGGGGGGAGTGCGGGAGGATCCCTTGCAGGGTCGAGCTGAGGATTTTGTGCAATTCCTGCACAATAAAGTCGCTCGGATTCGGGAAGGCTTGGACTCCGACTGGGTGAGTCCGGGGGAGGAGACGAGGGTAGGTCTTGAGAATATTATCTGGGAGGAGTTTGATCCTGTGGCTCCCGAGGATGTGGACAGGGTTCTGGGTAAGATTAGTGCCGCCACATGTTTATTGGACCCGTGTCCCTCCTGGTTGGTACTGGCCTCCCAGGAAGTTACACGAGGCTGGCTCCAGGGGATTATAACTGCTTCTCTGAGTGAGGGTGCCTTTCCCGCCACCTTGAAAGAGGCGGTGGTGAGGCCCCTCCTCAAGAAGCCTTCCCTGGACCCGGCTGAATTAGTTAACTATCGTCCGGTCTCCAACCTTCGTTTTGTGGCGAAGGTTGTTGAGAGTGTGGTGGCACGACAACTGCCCAGGCACCTGGATGAAGCTATCTATCTAGACCCATACCAGTCGGGCTTCAGGCAGGGGCACAGCACAGAAACGGCATTGGTCGCGTTGGTGGATGATCTCTGGAGGGCCCGGGACAGGGGTTGCTCCTCTGTCCTAGTCCTATTAGATCTCTCAGCGGCTTTTGATACCATCGACCATGGTATCATGCTGCAGCGGTTGAAGGGGTTAGGAGTAGGGGGCACCGTTTTGCGGTGGTTCTCTTCCTTCCTCTCCGGCCGCTCGCAGTTTGTGTTGGCAGGGGGGCAGAGGTCGACCTCGAGGCATCTCGCATGGGGAGTGCCACAAGGGTCGGTCCTGTCGCCTCTTCTGTTCAACATTTATGTGAAGCCGCTGGGTGAGATCATCCGTGGTTTTGGGGTGAAGTGTCACCTGTACGCTGATGATACTCAGCTGTACATCTCCACCCCAGACCACCCCAACGATGCCCTTGATGTGATGTCTCGCTGCCTGGAGGCCGTGCGGGTCTGGATGGGGAGGAACAGGCTCAGACTCAACCCTTCCAAGACCGAGTGGCTGTGGCTACCGGCGTCCCGATATAGTCAGCAGGTGCCATCACTGACTATTGGGGGTGAATCTTTGCCCCCCACAGAGAGGGCTCACAATCTGGGTGTCCTCCTGGATGCACGGCTGTCTTTAGAAGAGCATATGACGGCCGTGGCCAGGGGGGCCTTTTATCAGGTTCGCCTGATCCGCCAGTTGCAGCCCTTTCTGGACCGGGACGCCTTGCGCATGGTCACTCATGCCCTTGTCACCTCCCGGCTGGACTATTGTAATGCTCTCTACATGGGGCTCCCCTTGAAGAGCACTCGGAGGCTCCAGCTGGTCCAGAATGCGGCCACGCGGGTGGTTATGGGCGCACCTCGTTGTGCCCGCGTGACACCCCTCCTGCGCGAGCTGCACTGGCTCCCAGTGGTCTTCCGGGTGCGATTCAAGGTGTTGGTTACCACCTTTAAATCGCTCCATGGCACAGGACCCGGATACCTTCGAGACCGTCTTCTGCCACCAATAGCCTCCCACCGACCAGTCCGTTCCCACAGAGAGGGTCTCCTCAGGGTGCCATCAGCCAAGTTATGTCGGCTGGCGACACCCAGGGGGAGGGCCTTCTCTGTGGGAGCCCCAACCCTGTGGAATGAACTGCCCCCGGAAATACGTAAGATCTCCGACCTCCGGGTGTTCCGCTGCGCACTGAAGACCCTGTTGTTCCGCCAGGCAGGGCTGTCAATATAATAATTTTAAATTGGGGTATTTTAATTTTTGGGGTTTTAAATCGGCCAAATCTATTTAATTATTTTAATTTTTAATTATTGTTGTGTCTTGTGTTTTTAAATTGGCTGTACACCGCCCTGAGTCCTTCGGGAGAAGGGCAGTATAGAAATAAAATTATTATTATTATTATTATTATTATTATTATTATTATTATTAATCCTGTATCAGCTTGTGTCCCACAGGTCCTCAACTTCTTGCAGGTGGGGCTCCGCAAAGGTCTGGCGCACAACACGCTCAAGTGTCACGTCGCTGCACTTTCCACAGTTTTGTCACCCAGGGATGGAGCGCCACTGTCTCACCACCCATCCATCCACAGGTTTTTGCACGGCGCCTGCAATCTCTGTCCCCCCGTAATACACTGCTATCCCACCTGGGATTTACCGCATGTCCTACGGGCCCTCACCGAACCTCCATTCAAGCCCTTAAGTACCTTGAGTCTCAGATTCTTCACCTTTAAGGTGGCATTTCTGGTGGCCATTACATCGGCCAGGTGCATTTCGGAGCTCACGGCCCTCTCCATCAGGCCCGACCTCTGCGTCATTCATCCCGAGAGGGTGGTCCTTAGACTGGACCCATCGTTTGTTCCCAAGGTAAATTCCCAATTCCACTAGGAACAGGAGGTCATCCTCCCTAACTTCTGCTCAAGGCCAGCCCATCCCTTGAAACACAAATGGCACACCCTGGACGTCCGCATAGCTCTTAAAAACTACATCTCGCGGACTGCGCCATCCAGGCGGTCTGAGGCTCTCTTCGTATCCTTTCAACCTACCTCTACATCTGCAGGGCTGCTACCTGGACTACTCCTTTTCCCTTTATTAAGCACTATCGACTGGATGTCTTCGCTTCTGCGGAGGCCTCCTTTGGCAAGAGAGTCCTACAACAGGTGCACCTTGCCTCGGGGGCTTCTAGCTCGCAGGCTTCCCACCCATAGGTCAGACAAGCTTGGGTATGTCCTGACCCAATCCGCAGCCTACTGGGAGAAGAGGCGTTGGTCTTACCGTGAATGCCGTTTCTCCGGGGGCTGCGGAGTGGGTCAGCCCCTCCCCGCCTGCAACACCGACATAACTCCCTACTAACTATCTAGCAGGGCTTGTCTTTCAGACCTCTCTTCATCAAACAAACTGGAAATGAGGGGCACGAGAGGAGGCGTGGCCAATTCTTCTTGACTCAGTATCTGGGCAGATCAACTGACATCCCACTCCTGACCCACTCCGCAGCCCCCGGAGAAACGGCGTTCACGGTAAGACCAACGCCTTTTCAATTTAGATGTAGTCTTCTTGTTTGGGTTGGGAATTTTCACTTTGTTCATTGAGTTTCAGAGTAGTTAGAGTTGCCTCTAGACCCTTTACTTTTTCTTCTAGTAATTCCAGTAGTTTACATTTGCTGCAGTTTGGGTCTTCTGTGGGCATAAGCTGAAACTTATGACACAATTTGCAAGTCACTATAATATCAGTCTCCATTTCTATTACTTTTTTTGTTTCTTTGTTAAAAAAATTAAAAATTTCTAAAGATTAAATATTTTTCCTGTTGTGAATGTCAGTTTACAAGAGTGCTTGGCTGTTTGTTCCCTGTCTTGAAAAATTCATCACTATCTGTAAGGTCCAGCCTCTTCTCCTCGTTCAAGAAAGTAAAAACTCTTGAAACTTTGGCATTTCAAAAGGAACCTTTTATTGAACAGGAGTGATAGCAGACAAAAGAAAAGCAGACTCTGAGTTTCCCTCAGGCAATACAGTTAGGATAAAGGAATTAGAAACCCCTCCCTTCAGTTCGATGTGCATTCAGCCAATCCGCAGGTGTGGAGATGTTATTGTAATGGCTGTCCTGAGAATGCGATAAGCAAATGTTCTCAGGGTCATCTTCTGCTGGCTTTTGGAGTGATACAACCCACATGGCCCTCCCTCCCCTTACATTCCCCAAAAGGTGAGAAAATCTCAGGATGCCTAGGCACCAGGATAAAGGTTATAAAGTAAAAGGTTACAGGCTATGGGGGGGAGGGGTAAGGAAGAACACAATAAACTAAGTAATACATCCAGGGTCCCCCCTTCCCCAGAAAAATGGCAGCATCACGATAGGGATCTGATACTATCTTCCCTGTTTTGAAGTGTCTATCTCTTTCTTTTTCTTTTTCTTTTTTTTTTAATTTTTAAAAAGTTTTTTTATTTTAAACACATTAATAACACATTAAAAATCAAACATACATACAACAAAAAGTAACACAAAAAAGAAAAATATCACTTTTCTTTCAGCTATACACAGCGGTCTGCTTTTTCTATACATCAATATTTACAAATATTTAAGTATATACTTATTTGACGTTCATTTTCTACTTTATATCATTTCTTCTTTACTAACAAAAGATCATATACATTTTCCCCCTCCTTTCTTCATTCATTTAACTTATTTCCTTATGTTTCAACCATTCATACCATCTACTCCAAACCTTATAATACTTTGATTCTTCTTTCCCCTTAATTTCTTTAGTTAATTTATCTAATTCTGCACTTTCTAGAATTTTTTTAATTAAATCCTCTTCCGTTGGTAGTGTTTCCTTCTTCCAATATTGTGCGTATACAATACGTGCTGCAGTCAATATATGCAATATAAGGTACTGTATTTCTTTAGTATAATTGTCTATTGAGATTCCTAACAGAAATTGTTCCGGTTTTCCCTCTATTGGGTTCTGAATTATTTCTACTATCCAAGTTTTGATTTTCTTCCAGAATGTTTGTGCCATCGTACAGGTCCACCATTGGTGATAGTATGTTCCGTAGCCAGTCTTGCACTTCCAACATTTCGGGGAGTTGGTAGGGAACATTTTCACAATTCTGGCCGGTGGGAGGTGCCATCTATAAAATATTTTCATCTGGTTTTCCTTGTATGCCGTCGCAATTGTTAGTTTCATGTTCGTTTTCCACATCCTCTCCCACTTCTCTAGTTCTATCACATGGTTAAAGTTTTGTGGCCATTTGATCATCGTGTCTTTCACCATTTCCTCTTCCATTTTATACCGAATTAGAAACTTGTATAGTCTACTTATTAGTTTTCGATCATTCCCTAGTATGATTTTATCTAATTCTGTTTCTTCTAGTAGAACTTGATCTTTTTTTATATCCTCTGTGTACTTTGAATTTATCTGCAGATATGTCCACCATTGCACTGAAGTGTCTATCTCTTTTTCCATGGTGTATTATATTTTCTCTTAAATCGTTAAGAATTCAAACATTTCAAAAAAATAAAATAAAATTCACTGCCTTCGCTCAGGTGTTGGGCTGGATAACTGAGCTGTCTCTGCCTGGGCCACTTCTCATTTGAGCCATCTCTCAGCTGGGCTGCCTCTCACCTCATTAAAAGGATTTTTTCCCCCAAATTTTAAAAATTCTAGAAGTTTATTTTCTTTCTTTCTTTTTTTAAAACATGTTTTATTTGCAGTTTTCTTTTCACACTATACATATTTTGTGGACTGGGTCAAGTCTTTTTTAAACAATGCTAACAATAATAATACAAATAAGTATGTGTAATCCTAATCTTCCAACGTCAACAATACTATTCTCTCTTCATAATCCTTTATTATTTTCCTCATTAATTTATTTAAATATAAATAACATTTCTTTGCGCCAGGTATTTGTTATTCCCTACTAAATTACTATTATTTAATATTTTAAGAATTACTCATTATTCCACCATAACTTCAATATTTGAAATGTGTAGGATAGTAATAGTATAGTAATAACGCCAAATATTAACAATATTTAATCAACCCCGGGAGTGGATTTAATCCACTTAATCAATTTAATTTAATCAATTTAATCAATTAATTATTTAATCAATCCCGGGAGTCTCAAAATCCCCACAATTTCTAATCCTTAATATTTTAAATTTACAATATACTTTAACACACTATTAATGTTAATAATACAATTAAATTACCTAATCCTAAATTTCCATCTACTAATCTTAACTTGTTTTTACTTATAATAAGTTGTATTATCTATTAATATATATACTATTTTCCCTATTTGTATTTTCCCATTTTATTAATATATTTTCTCATTATCCATCATCTCTTAACCTTTTTAAAATTCCATCATTTATTGACTTTTTAGTCAGCCTTTTATCTCTCTCTTTTGGAATCTTGTAGCTCTTTTTAATATTTTTGTGCCTACTGAACATTCCCTTCTGGATACACTTTGTCTCTTTCTGCTGTATTTTTTTAAAGTTTTTTTACAAACATATCAATGCATGAACAGTGTGGCACCTAGGTGTCATACATTCTAATACAAATAAAGCTAGTAGAATTAATCAATTATTACATTCAATCAACATATATTTCTATTAATAATACACATTTATATTAGATTGCAATTATCCAATTATTCAATTTTCTCATTATTACTTTTATTTTATTACATAAAATTATATACACTAACATTCCCTCTCCTCTTATTTCTATCTCTTATTCTAACTTTTAGTCATGTCACCCTTCATTAAAAAAACATTTTCTTTCTATCCTACCTAACTTCTAATCATGTCACCTACCTAAAAAAAGCAAAGAAAGAGAAAAAGAAAAGCAAGTCAGAACAACAACAAAAAGGAGAAATCATCTATCCATTGTCTCTTGCCTGCTTCAATACTTTAATTGCTATGCTTTTTTTGACTTGCCTCCCATATTCCTCTCTTGGATCTTTATCTCTATCTCTACTATCTCTCTACTTCTTGGCTGTTCAATCTAGATATTTCTACCACATCTACCCTCTTCCATTGCCTACCTTCCACAATTTCTACCCAGGCCCCTAACTCCCTTTCAAGGGTATCTTCCTGTATCTCCAATTCTCTTTTCAACTCTTTTAATATGTTTTCCCCTCATTTAATTGATCAGTCACTGTTATTTTCATTGTTATCTCCTCCTTGTTTTTCTTCTTTTCTTCTCTGGTTCTTCAGCTCAATCTTTTCCTCCAATTCTTCTCTTGGCTCCTCCCTTTCCTGGATGTCTTGGTCTTTACTCATCATCCCTCGTATAGTATTTTCCATTTTTTCCGTAATCTCCTTAAAACCTTTCTCTATGATATCCTTTGTGTTTTGAAAAAGTAACGCCATCTCCTTCAAAGTTCCACTCATTTCATCCTTATAAAGTATCTTGTTTTGTTTTAAACAGTTCAACTGTTTATTCAGTCCTTAAATTTCCCTTCAAGGAGTATACTAATCACAGCTCTTTATATCCCACAAGTATACAATCAATTCCAATTAAATAGTCCCAGAGTTTATCCAAAGCCTCTTTGCATCTCCTTTACAGGTTCAATCTTCTAACATAACATTCAGGGGTCCCTTTAATTAGATAGCTTCCTTATTTTTGTATTTGAGTCTCCAGTAATCATGGGGTAGAGTTAAGGATAATCCAGTAAATATTTTCACAGTCGCACATATAGGTATTCCCAGACTTGTAATTTTTCCTTTCGTCAGCAGATGGCACTCTCAACTTAAATTTCAGTATTGCCCTATTGATGGTCGTGCTCATTTGGTTCTATGAGGAAGTTATTTGGTCAATACAGCTTCAGGTTCAAAAAGTTGTTTTATTATTTACAAAATATATACATGCATACAATAATGAACAAGGTGTCCTGTTGCACTTTTTACCCTAACTGTATGACTCAGATGTTGAGAGGAGAGAGAAGTTCACGTGTTGTCTTGCTGAGAGATAGATGAGAGAGAGAAAAAAAACAGGGAAGATGTCCAAGTGGTTTCTGGGTAAGAGTCCAATAAAGAGTTCATTGGCTGATATAGTCACATGTGATGTCTGTAAAGACTTAACCCCTTCTAGTCCCTGGTGCATCATAAGCAGGCAATATTCTGACAGACCCCTTCTATTGCCAAGTGTGATGGAACAGTGTTCAAAGATAATAATAAACACAAGTATAAGAAAAAATAAATTATAAGTACAGTCCAACTGATTTGCAGTGGTTCCAATGTGTTTCACAAGGTTTAGTTAAGAAATCGACAGTTTGGTCTTTGGTATCGCAACGAACAAATTCAACAAAACCCTTTTTAATTAGGTCTCTCACATTTTTATAATGTATATCAATATGGTGAGATCTGAAGCTGACCGAAGAGGCTATAACGGACTCATTGTCCTCGTGGAGAGTGATAGGTAGTGAAGGTTGTGTCCAAATATCTGAAACTAATTCGTATATCCATGTGAGAAGTGTGCAAGCGTCAGAAGCACTGGCATATTCAGCTTCGGCAGTGGAATTAGCAATGAAGTTTTGGCGACAAACGCACCAGTCTATGGGACAACCATTTAGGAAGTATATAAAGCCTGATGTGCTTTTTCTTGATTTTTCATCCCCTGCCCAATCAGCATCTGAATAACAGATAAGTTCTGGGGTGACTCCTTCATCAGGTTCTAATAATAAGACCATATATTTTGTATTATGCAAATATCTGAGTAACCTTTTCATAGCAACCCAATGTTGTTCTTTAGGCTCATCTACTTGTCTAGATAAGAGATTTGTACTTAATGATATATCGGGTCTACTCCATCTGCTGATATAAAAGTGATCCTATGATGGATTGATATTGAGTTTTATCATGATGCTTGTTACCATCTAGATAAGCAATTTTATTATAGTCAGTGCGCATGGGTGTATCTGTGGGATTGCAGTCTTCCATGCCACATCTTTGTAACAGGTCTTCAATCTTATCCTTTTGTGAGAAGCAAAAACCTCTATCAGTTTTAAAAATTTGTACACCCAGATATTGGTCTATATGACCTAAGGTCTTTAAATTAACATGTTCTCTTAATTTGTTTGCAAATTGTTCGCTGGATTGTATGTTGGGCCCGATATAAATCAAATCATCAACATAGATTAAAATAATTTCTTTTCCCCCTTCATAAGGTTTTGTCATTACGCACTGGTCTGATCAAATTTGATTATACCCCATTGATTTTAAAATGTTGGTAAGGCAGTCAAACCAGAGTTTGCCTGATTGTTTTAAGCTGTATAACCCTTTGTGTATCCTCCTTGTTTTGCCAAATTCAACTTGGAATCCTGGTGCCCCATTGACATAAATTTCCTCCTCTAATGGTGCATGGAGGTATGCGGTTTGGACATCAAATTGGTAGACTTCTTGATTTGAGACAATGGCTGAAGTCAGTGCCGTTTTTGCGCTTTCTGGTTTTACTGTGGGGGAGTAAGTTTCATCGTAATCTTCGGGAAAGCGTTGGGCAAAACCTTGGGCTACAAGGCGTGCTTTGTATAGATATGTGTTGTCAGGGAGTGTTTTAATTTTGTAAACCCATCGAGTGCCAATCGGGTGTTTGTGTTGTGGAGGTGTTGTTTTTGTGAATACTTTTAAATTTATTAAATAGTCCATTTCTTTGGACATAGCGTCCCACCATTTTAATTGTTCTGATTCCGGTAATTGGAGCATGTATTTAAAATTTTTTGGAGTGATGGGTATTTGGTTTGTCTGTGTCACATTGTTCACGTCAAATCTTTTAGGTTGGATGCCTTGTGTAATTCGTTTGGATTTTCTGATTGGTAGTTGTGTATCTGTGTTGTTTGTTCGTGGTGTAACATTTGGTGGTGTTGTTTGTACATGTTGAATTCTCTGTGGTGTATCTAATGTATTTGTTTCTTGGGTTAATACGTATGAGTCATTTGAGTGTATTTTGGTCCAGTTGTGGTTTTCTATGAATGTGGCTGAAGGGGAAATTATTACTGTGTTGTTGTTTTTTTATGAATCGATATGCTTTCGAACCTGGTGCATATCCTATGAAACGTAATTTTTTGGACACCTCATTCCCTTTCCGTCTGAGTGGTTTGGGGATATTGACATATGCATAGCAGCCAAAAACACGAAGATGTGTGAGGTGTGGTTGAGTGCCATATACAAGAAAATAAGACGTTTGGTTAATAACCTTATTCCATGTGCGGTTAAAAGTGTAATTGACATATGCAAGGGCTTCTGCTCAATAGCTAGGGAGTACATCAGCATCTAACATGATGCTGCGCATCATGGTCTGTAATATTCCATTTTTTCTTTCACAAATCCCATTCTGCTGGGGGGTAAAAGGTGATGTTTTGTAGTGTATAATGCCTTTGGAGTCAATCCAGTTTTGAAATTGTACAGATGTGAATTCGGTTCCACAATCTGTTTGAATTTTCTTTAATTTGATGTTGTGTTGGTTTTGTATGAGTGTGTAAATTTTTTTTATTTTTTGGAATGCTTGAGATTTTTCAGTAAGGGTATAGATATGTCCAAAACGACTGAAATCATTGACTAAGTTCAAAAAATATTTGCGTTTGCCCAAAGAAAGTGGAAAAGGGCCTACAATGTCAACGTGTACCAATTCGTATATGTGTTTTGATCGTCTGGTGCTGGTGTGGGGAATTGGGGCTGCCTTCGATTTTGCAGCTTTACAAATCTCACAGTCAAGTTGGATAGGGCAATCCTTAGTTGGGCAATCCAAGTTGGATAGGGCAATGCCTTGGGAGTATTGTCTACAGCAACAGTATTGGCATGTGCTAAACGTCTGTGTAATAAATGGGCACAATTATCGTGTAAAGGTTCACCTATATGAGTTTGAATTTTTGTTTTCGAGGTTCATTGGTTTTGTGATGTGGGTGAAGTTGGAGAGAGGTGTGGTGTGGTACCTTCATGGTGGGTGTCAGGGTTACGGTCGGGATGATTGTCAGGGTCAGGTCTCGATGAGGATTGAGGTAGTTGAGTCATGGGTGAGGATGATGTAAAGGAATCTGGAATAAGAAAAGGTAAATCATTAATGACAGAAATATTAGCAATAATAGTGTTATCATGTTTGGATTTTATAAAACCGTGTTGATCATCAAGAAATACTTTAAAACCGATTTTACCTAATTTTGAAGTACTCAAAATATTGTGGCCAAAGGTAGGTGTATAGAGCACTTGACTAATTTCCCTTATACTGGGTATAAAGATAGATCCTTCATATTCAACTGTATTGGAAGTACCATTTGCTGCTGTAATTGAAATATTGGTTGACCCATAGGTGCGTGGTGTCACGCAGGTATTGTTGGGTGTTGGGAAAGATGCCGAATGTTTGGGAATCGGAGTTAGAATATATAGATTGTTCAGTATGTTGTCCCCTTCTGTCTTTATAATCTTTGTGTGTGGGACCCTTTCTAATGTAAAATTCAGTAGCCATGGATCTTTTAGGTTCAGTATGTTCTTTTTTTTTTTTAATTTTATTTATTTCTTTACAACAAAATATTTACTCACACACAGATCGCGACGGGAGCTTTACAGAATATATTTATTTATTTATTTATTTATTTATTTAAATTTCTATACCGCCCTTCTCCAATATAGGACTCAGGGCGGTGAACAGCCAAAGTAAAAACAAGACATACAAAATCTAAAAACTGTTTAAAATAATTAAATATTTTTGGCCGTAATTAAAACAATTCCAATTTAAAATCAGTTTAAAATTTAACTCAAGCCAGCCCAGCTAGTTGAAATAAATGGGTTTTCAGGGCCCGACGAAAAATCCGGAGGTCTGTTATTGTACGTATCTCTGGGGGGAGGTTGTTCTAGAGGGTGGGCGCCGCCACAGAGAAGGCTCTCCCCCTGGGGGTCACCAGCCGACATTGTCTGGCGGACGGCACCCTGAGGAGGCCCACTCTGTGTGAGCGTACTGGCCGGTGGGAGGCTATTGGTGGTAGAAGGCGGTCTCGTAAATACCCCAGTTAACTTTATATTAACTTCAGTCAAGATATACAAATAAAAAATAAAATCTATACTAACCTTATCCTTTTTTTATTCTATTATTCAACCAAGTATACCATTGGTCCCAGCATTGAAAATATACGGAGTCCTTTTGATCTCTCAAAATTTTTGTTAACCTGTCAGCTTCCGCATATTCGATAATTTTTCCCAGAATCAAATCTTCAGCCGGTAGGTCTTTCCCCTTCCAATGTTGAGCAAAACATATTCTTGCTGCGGTTGTGATATGTAATCAGACACCATATATTCATGCCTATCTTATCTGGCCTAATATTTAATAGATAGTATTCTGGTTTCAATTGTAATTTATATCCCGTGATTTCTAATATCCACCTCTGTATAGATCTCCAAAATTCGATTGCCTTAGGGCAGGTCCACCATACATGATAATAAGTACCTATCTCACCACACTTCCAACAATTTGGGGAGAGTCCTGGAAACATTTTGTCTAATCGAGCAGGAGGGAGATGCCATCTATACACCATCTTATACAAGTTTTCTTTGTAAGTGGTTGCCATCAGAAATTTCAATTGTTTCATCCAAATTTCTTCCCATTTTATCAATTCAATTGAGTAACCAATATTTCTCCCCCAGGCAATCATTGAGTCTTTAACAATCTCATCCCCTATCCAATAAGTTATTAAGAATTTATAGATCTTAGATAATATTCTTTCCTCCTTTCCTAATATAATACTATCTATTTCTTGCTGAGTCATGTCTATACCACTTTTTTCCTTGTCTTTCTTATATTTAGAGCTGATCTGGACATAGGACCACCAATCCAATTTTATTCCTTGAAGCTGTAACTCAGTTCTTGTTTTTAAGCAGCCTTGGGCATCCAACAGTTCCCGATAGGATAGGTGTTTTTCTGTATTATAAAGCGAACTATATGTTGTAGCTTCTAACGGGACCAACCAAGAAGGAGTCGAAAAGTAGAGTTTACCCTTAACTTTCCTCCATGTATCAATTAGAATATTCCTTACATAATGTCCTGCAAAACTCATATGTTTTTTAATCTTATCTTGCCAAAGAAAATAGTGCCAACCCTGTTGTAACCCTGAACCTTCCAGAATCAACAACCGTCTTCTCAGCAGGATCCATTCCCTTACCCAAACTAAATTTGCAGCCTGATAATAATATTCCCATTTTGGTAAGCCAAATCCCCCCTTTCTTTCACCTCTTGAAGCATTTTAAGTTTAATTCTGGGCTTTTTATTTTGCCAGATAAATTTAAAAACACATTGATTTAACATTTGGAAAAAAGTATTGTTTAGTCTAGCTGGTGCTGTATAAAATAAATATGTCCATTTTGGGAGGATATAGGATTTTATAATCGCGATCCTACCTAATAAAGACGTCTGAAGGTTCTTCCATTTCTCTAAATCCTGTTCTGTTCGTTGGAGTAATTTCAAATAATTATCTTCTTTAATTGTTGTGCATTTGGCTGATAATATAATACCTAGATATCGTAATTTATTGACAATTTGGAATCCCAAATGCGCTTCTAATTCCTTCCCCTGCTTTATTGTCAAATTTTTAATAATAACCTTAGTTTTTTCCTTGTTTACTTTTAAACCCGCTACATTTCCATATTTTCCTAATTCATTAATCAAATTCGGACCCGATAAAATGGGGTCTTCCAATATAAATACTAGGTCATCAGCGTATGCTTGTACCTTATATTGTTGGTTTTTAATATGCAATCCTTTTATCCCTGAATTACGCCTAATTTCCCTCAATAAAGGTTCTAATGTTAAAATAAATAGCCACGGAGAAAGCAGGCACCCCTGTCTAGTTCCTTTCTCAATGCAGATTTGTTCAGAAACGTCTCCATTAATTAGAATCTTAACAGACTGCTTCGAATAAATTGAACGAATTGCCTGAATAAACCTTTCCCCAAATTGTATATGTTGTAATAAACCCACTAAAAAACTCCAACTCACTCAATCAAAGGCCTTTTGCGCATCCACAAAGACCAAAGCCAATTGTTTATCAATATGGGTTTCATAATGTTCCAAGACGTTCATAATTATTCTCACGTTATCTCTAATCTGCCTACAAGGAAGGAAACTGTTTTGATCTTCATGTATAAATTGACTTAGGAAAACTTTTAGCCTTTCTGCTAGCACTGCCGCAAATAATTTGTAATCTGCATTAAGAAGCAAAATAGGTCTATAATTCTGGATCAGGGATAAGTTGGCAAGAGGGTTATTAATGTTTCTGACCAGGAATTCGGAATCTGTCCCTCCCGGATTACCCCATTAAATAGTTCTGTCACTTAAGACTTCCCAAAGTGCCTTGTAATATTCTATTGGGAGGCCATCTGTACCGGGAGTCTTTCCTGTTTTTTGTTTTCCCATAACCCTTTCAAGTTCCCCTTTGGTTATCTCCCTGTCCAGTATTTCCCTAGACATGTCCGATATTTTGGGTAGATCAGATTATTCTAAATATTTCTTTATTTCCTGCTCAGACTTATCCTCTTTTCTATATAGATCGGAATAAAATTCCTGCGCTATTCTTTTCTTCTCTTCTTCCCCTGTAATCCATTCACCATTCCCATCTCTCAAGTTATGAATTCTACTCCTTTCCTTTTCTTTTTTTAATCGGTATGTAAGCCATCTTCCCTGTTTATTTGCATTTTCAAATTGCCGTTGTTTCATCCACCTAATTTTTTTTTCTAAGTCCTCTTGGTCTAATAAGTTAATTTGATGTTGTACTAATTTCAAATTCATATTGAGTTCTCTATTGTTTGGGTCCTGTTGCAACATAGCCTCACTTTTGGTCAAGTCTTTTAATAATTTATCTCGTTTAGCCCTCTCCTTCTTCCGTTTCCCCGCTATATAGTTTATCACTAAACCCCGAAACACTGCTTTAGCGGTTTCCCAAACATTTAAAAAGTTCGCATCTTCCTTATTATTTTCCTGAAAGAAAAAGCCCATCTCCTTCTTTAAATAACTTAAGAATTGTTCATCTTTGAGGACCCTTACATCCATTCTCCACCTGGGCCTTGTTTTCAAGCCTCCCCATGTTATCCATAATGGATTATGGTCTGCCCACTCATTGATGCCTATTTCTACTTTCTGTGTTCCCTGCCTCAGTTCCCCCGACATCCAAACCGCATCTATCCGCGACCAAGATGAGTGCCTGGCGGAGAAATATGTGTACTGTCTATCTTCCGGATGTTTTTCCCTCCAAATGTCTCTAAGTCCAAATTCCTCTTGAATTTGATGGCAAATAGTAGGCAATCTTTTCTTTGCTGATCTCTTTTTTCCTCCTGATTCTTTTTTCCAGATATATAATCTTTATCCTTATCATCTATGGCGTTGAAGTCCCCCACTACACAAATATGTGAGTAATCAAGTTCTACCAATTTACTATAAAGATTCTGAAAAAAAACTTTGATTCCCATTAGGTGTATAAATACAAACCAATATGCTTTTTTTACCACAAATTTCTACTTCAATTATCAAAAGTCTCCCTTCTTCATCTGCAAAAATTAGTCTTGAGTTTATATGCTTTTGAACATAAATCGCTACTCCTCTTTTTTTAGTTTCTGCTAGAGATGTATATAATTGACCCAATTTGGTATAATTCAGTAAATAAAGATGATCTCTTTTCACGTGTACTTCTTGAAGGCATATAATATTCAAACGTGCTTTTATTAATTTATTAAAGATCTTTTTTCTCTTATTCTGGCTATTCAGCCCATTAATGTTAACTGACAATAGTCGAATTTTCTCCCCCATCCCTTCTCCCTTCTGTTGCCCTTACTTGCCTTCTACTTGAAGTTTCTTTTTTGTTTGTCTTGTTTCTCTCTGGTTTAGTCCCTCGGTTCCTATTTCTGCCTGTATCTGCGTCTGTCCTCTTCCTTTCTTTCTCCCACCTAGCTGTTCTGGTTCCCCTCTCTCTTCCTCCTCTAATAATTCTTCCGCACTCTTCCCCTCTGACTCTTCTCCCACCTCCGCTTCTAAAGGTTCAAATGTCTTATAAAA